CTTTTCTTCGTTCTAGTTCATCCAAATCTATAACATCTGGGTCGATAACAGACATCTTAATCAGCTAAACTACATTCACGGTTGATAACTCAACCCTAGTTATATAGGAGTCAGGGAATCCAAATCTATAACATCTGGGTCAATAGCATACATCTTAACTAGCTAAACTACATTCATGGTAGATACCCGATATGATTGAATTGCAAGTGGCTCAATCCCAAACTCAAAACTGATCAAGCTGCTCTTAGATTTCACTTCTGATATGCAGATTCTTAAGATGGGTCCTAGTTAGTTAAACCTTCAATGGACAAAAAGAAAAGGGTACGAACAGAATGTACTGCATTCATTAGTGTTTTAGTCTGATTTTAAACAGTCAAGTTCAGGAGAAACACCAGGAGAATGTGGAGTGTGGGGCCCCAAAAAAGGTTCACCTGCCCTCACATGCTAAAGAAGATAAGGAGACACTAACCCAAAAGGAAAAGGCGTCATCTTTTTCTTCAAATCCAAACCGCGTTTGATCCTCAAGTGTCAAAAGAATCAACAAAAAAAGGAATCAGGTTCTAAAAGATCAATGTTTCTGGCTGCATTTATCATTTGTATGATTTGCTTTAAGTGTGTTGGTGGCTCTCCCATTTTACTATTATTATACATTATCAGAGACTATACTATGTTTTAGGCATTCAAGATGAACGGTCAATGAATAAACAATTCATTGTATGAGGAAATGGAACTAAAAGTAGGGTAAATTTTCTGGTAAAGTTCATGTGATTATTGTTCAAGATGATTCCAGCTCATACTTACATTTTCATTACTAATGTATAGTCTTTTTTGTCCCGATTCCGGGATTGATTTACATGACATAACGACGGAAATTTAGAAGAAAAAACATGTTTTTTTAGGGGAGGAAAGCTTCTTATTCTTTCAAACTTAGATGCTTAAATATATATTTAGCCGTTTTTTTTATGTCGCAGATATAAGATGAAAATTTGAACTTATTTCTAGGACCAGAAATTACTAAATTTCGATAAATTTTTTAGTGTTGTAATAATACATACTTCTTTCATTCAACATTTTACACGTCATTAGATGATATATTATTTTCATTTTATGCTTTTTTTTTAATTTAGTGACGTGAAAAATTTTCAACTAAATTATACACAGATAGTATATGATTGAACAGACGACGAGTGAAGAATTAAAATAATAATAATGATAATAATTTCATAATTTTGAATTGAATCTCATGCCCATTCATGACACAAATATGGTCACACTCAAGCATGGCATGAATAAGACAATTTAAAAAAAAAAAAAAAAAAAAAAAAAAAAAAAAAAAAAAA